GGATTGCACAACCTGACAGCGGCCTCTTTATTACTAAATGTCAAGATTCAGAGCAAAATTCTCAAGACGGCACAGGAACGCCCTCCTCTCTATCTTCTCTATCGACTTTGGGTCTTCAAAGTGTCTCCTCTTTGGGAATCAACAATTTTCGAGAGCTAAAAGCCATTCCAGACTTGGGAAGCCTCACCTCTCTTGAATCTTTGTTCATTTCACAATGCTCAAACCTCGAATCCATTCCAGACTTAGGAAGCCTCAGCTCTCTTGAAGCGTTGTTCATTGATGAATGCCCAAAGCTCAAATCCGTTCCAGATCTGGGAAGCCTCACCTCTCTTGAGTCTTTGTCCGTTAAGGAATGCCCAAAGCTGAAATCATTGCAAAGCCTGCCACCCTCACTTCTGTCTTTAAGTATTAAGCATTGTCCATTGTTAAAAAGAAGGTGGAAAAGGGGTAGAGGAAAATACTGCTCAAAGATTGCTCACATCCCTAAAGTTTGCATAGATGGAAAATTAATCTTCAATTCAAAGGAGGAAGAGTATCAAGAATCAAAGAATCATCTAACTTCAATCCAGGTTGGTCATTTTCTTTCACTATTTTCTTTTATCCTCCTTCTTAACTTCAAAGTTTCCTAAAATTGTTTTTCGTTTAACTTTAATTGACTTGTTTTCTAACATCTTGTACTGCAATTTGTCTGTCACTTGTCTTATTTAATAACTTTTCTGTCTTATATTTTGTTTGGTTCACTAGATTTAATCAGTATATTTTTTAGGATGAACCAAGTGGATAGCTGAAATCTAAAATCTGGAGTACATTCTTCAATCTCATACTCTCATGGAAGAAAGGTAACTAAAAGAAATTTAAATTGTGATTTAGTTTGGTATTTGAGTTTTGATATTAGAGATATAATTTGAATTATTTTCCTCATCTTTTTGTGTTTCAATAGAGTTAAGCTTCTACCACTCAGAGGAGTAAAATTTAAGAGGCAGAATCCGAGTCTTATTCCAATTTCAGGTTTGTCGATTTCAAACATGTGAATTGTTTTCCATATTTTAATCATAAAATAGTGTTGAATATATTACATTCTGTTGTTCTACAATTTTCAATCCAAGAGTGGAGTAGGACATTTTGATACAACAATACTTGAAATTTGAAGGTTTTTATATACCATTTTTTTGAAGTCATCAACTTCTTCAACTCTTGTGGGTGAAAAGTAACCAAAAGAAAGTCTTCAACACAAATTCAATGTTTTCAATTATTGATTTATATAGATAATATCTGCCAAAGTTCCTTCACAATATATGGTTGCCAGACTTGAGATTCTTTGTTGAGGTGAAATGAAATCAGACTGCGATTGCAATGCCATAAAATTTTCCTTATCTAGCTGCATGTAAACATTTTTTACATACCTTTTATATTTAAACTCTTAGTAAATGGTAATCCCAGATCATCTTTGATTCATAGGATCAAGTTGCCCTCATTGGCACAAGACTGACCTAGCCCTTATGGTAGTTCATTTGGTATAGATGAAGAGGACGATGACAGTGGATTCTTCTGTCGACATGTGTGTAATGTATGAAATAACTCTCGCGCTATGATTTTACAATTTTGATTTGACAACTTTTGATAGCAGTTTAACATTGTATTATTGCTCTGTTCGTGTGCTCTGTATATAAAGTAACTCTCTGCATTGATTGGAAGGCTGGAAACTAGTAAAATTCTGTTTTTCAAAAAGATGCTAGAATCCATGTAAAAAGGTTAATAATCGTCTTCTTCTTCATTATTTATTTGTTTTTTTCAATTTGTTATTTACAGAACGAGATAGCCTTATATTTCCTTCATCACTTACTACTCTCACTTTTCATGGGTTGTGCCACTTTGTTAGTATGTTGTCTGATTCATTTAATTAAGGAGTCAGAGCAAACCCAAGGTGATGGATCTCTATCTATTGCAAGCACTTCAGGTATTCTTTCTCCACTCATGTAGACTTATTATTATATTTTCCCCATATCATTGCCTTTTTTTATTGGGAGAGCATTTCCACATAATTTGTATTTGTTAATGTTAAAGGTGTATCCTATGAATGGAGTGACTAAAGCAGTGTTGATCAGAAAATGATTCACGGTACTCTTGAGATCTCACTTTCGATGCTGGTATGACCTTTCCAACTTATATAAGAAATTCTTATACATTTTGAGGTCTTTGTAACAATGAAAAGCTAATTGCCATTATGTAGGATCAAAGAGTGCAAAAATCTCCAATACTGCATCTCTTGAGCTTATGGAGATCATCAAGAGAAGTTCTCTTCTTGAATCTTTTTCAAAGAAGGCTTGTTGGATAAGATAATCTCAAGTACTTACTGATGAACTTATTAAAAAATATTCTCAAATTTGCATTTTTGTTGTTGCTTTGCCTAATTGCAACCCAAATTTTGATGTCTATCCCATGATAATTCACAGCTCGGTGCAAGAAAGAGAAGGGAAGCCTGTTGTCCCTTATATGATATAAAATCTACTCATTCGCCATGGCACTATGAACTTCTTGTATGGATAAGAGGAATAAGAAGCCTGAAAAACTGCAGTGGCTTAGACAGCAATGTAAGCACTGGATTTGAGATGGTTTCTTTTGTCCAAATAAAATTAATATGTTCATCTCCTCTTCTTCTTTGTTTATATATAGGCTTGTGGGTGGTGCTGTTAAGAAAATGTATGGGTAAAGAGTGAGTGTTGTGAGGACTTCTTAAATAATAAGAGCTGTAGATTACAGAAGAAAATTTCAGCTTTTGGGATTTGTGTGCATAAAGTGGCAGTGTTGAAAGAGATATAAGAGAAGGGTGTACACGGGTTTCAGGTTTGGATTGGGTATAACGTGAGTGTATTAGACTTATACTATCATTCTTTATTTTAGTCATTTGACTCACATCTGTGGATGTAGGCAAGGTTTTGCCGAACCACATTAATTTGGTGTTGTGTGATTGTCTTTCTACATTCATTATTTTGCATATCTTACCAACCCTATCAGAGTTCTAGTTTCTAAACAAAGTATTCCTTCATGTAAGATATGTCGAAGTCATTGCAATGTTTATTGCAATATGCGTTACAAATTATAACAGGTCATTAATTCTCTGTTCTGTTCACAACATTAATCATCTTACATAACTAACAAAGATAGACAGGGCTTGTAACGTCACTTTCACATTTCATTAGAGCCAAAGAAAGATTGCCAAACTTAAGGGATGAATTTGTTATTCTACCAGAGATCCCATACGGTGAAGTTTACACAACAAAATAAAGGCTCGAAAGGAGCCAATTTGTGGGGCCACCCTTTTCGTCATAATATCAAATACACCTCCTTATTTGCGAATTAGCTCTATAAACATACATTTAAAATCGGATAATAATAAATTAACCAATTTTTTAAACTTAAAAGCAAAATGAATATTAATTTTTATAAACTTAAGAAATTTCAAATTCCTACAGTACAGGAAACATATATAATCCTCTAAAATACAATAATTAATAACAATTAAAAAGAAAATTGATGTTCATTTTCCTGCTCTTTTTTTTGGCATAAATTTCTAACTACTGTATCACAATTTCCAAAAAATAATATTTTGTAGTAATTTTCTACATTAATTTTTATTTAATTCGTAGAAGTATACATGATCTTCAAGTTCTATATAATCTTCTAAGTAAATTTATGTTCCAAGTTCTTTGACATTTTTATAGCTAATGTTAACTCAAGGATATAATCGTATTTCCCTCCTTTACATTTCCTCCTCTTTGAACAAGTCCAATAATATAAGTGCCTGCAATATATCCAATTGAAATATTAATCAACTATATATTCCAAAATAATAAAAATCCCAATAGTAAATTTCTATTATGCCATACCGAGAAATCGTTTATATCAATTTGATAATATCATAAGATCAATAATTAAAGGCGAACATATGCATGGCATTATATCCAAAATATTTTTAAAATTAGAATCATTTATTCACAACCGAATAGTAAGTTTGACTCCATTTGAAAAATAGTAAACATTAGATTGACATTAAAAATATGTGAAATGCTAAGTATCGTCTCTTTTTCACTTTCTCACTCTTTTTAACACATATACAAAAGAGAATAGACCAATGAGGAAAGTGTTTTTTGCACTTCTCTGTAAAATACAGCAAAGTTTTTTAGATGTCGGTCGAATACTATCCCAATTAACAACATCGCTTTAGTAATATTATCGATTTATTATCAAAGTCACTCTGCATTTCTAGTTATTATTATTTTATTTTATTTTTTCAATCAATATTAGGAATAAAAGAACACTTTGTGAATCAATTACAAGTAAACAAAATTAACCCTAAGAATTAAAATGAAAGAAGTCTATATATATATAGTCATTATTAATTATTTGTTAATTATTCTCCTTCAATTTCCAGTTCTAACTTAGATTAATAATAATTAAAATTTAATTAATTATAATTAAGAATTAAAATTACCTGGGCTAGAAATCTTGATTCTCCTCTGCACTTCTTATCTTCCCATGCAATTGGCTCAATGTTTGACCTTCCAAAACTTACAGCCTTAAATTTATAAATAAAAAGAAAATAGAAAATTTAAATGAATTTTTAATATTCAAGGAAAGTGTTATAAAGTTCTTAGCCATTTGAATTAAATTAGAAACTTAATTCTTTTTAATTTTTTTTTCTATAGATTAATTGTGATTAAAATCTAATTATACATTATTAAACAAACCTTAAAAACTCCATAAAGCTAGCGAGCAGTATAGCCATAGAGAAAAAGCAGCAACCCAGGAGTTATTGTCCTTACAGAATCCTGTGGAAGCCCTACAAACATAATTCAAAAACCGTTATCAGAGTTAAAAGCTACAAAAAATGAGAAAAAAATGTTTCTTTTTTCTTTGCTTTTTTAATTTTACACTAATTTGTAGAATTGGGTGTGAAATTTTACCAAAGAGTTGGCGGCGAAGATCTTCTTGCATTATTTCGTTGTTGCAAACAAAAATGTTGCCTCCAAGAGGCTCATTCCTTGGCAACATTTCGCCCGGAGGAAGAGTCTTGTACCATTTATGATCAGCAGCCTGATGTTGCAGCTCCACTGATAAATTCCTTAACAAAGAAAAACTATAATTGTAAATGATACAACAACCACAATTTGTATTATTTTTTCGCAATGAATAATATTTCTGTACTATCAATATTCATCCATATAAAAATTCCAACCCTCCCCATAACAAATTCATGGTTTCACCCCTAATTATTTGTTTTCCCTCTAAGGTTTTTCTTTTTATGCTAGAACCTATATTTCACTTGTTGAGCTACAATCAAAAAGATTTATGTTACCATGATACATCAACCATTCAGTTCACATTCTCTAATATTTATTTATTGAAGTTAACAGTTTAAATGGAACAAAAGGCAATCATAATATAAAGCATTAAAAATGCTAAATTACAGTACCACCATCACATCAACAACACTTAGAAAATTATGCCTAGTCCTACAATAAGCAGAATAAGATAAATTTCAATCTAGATAAATAAACTTCCCACAATAAAAGAAGGTCAGTAGCCATACCAGCCACGAAGCTTCAATTTGAAGTACTGCAGTATATCCAAATGCTTAGGCCTCAAGAAGGTTTGCAGCAGGCATATCTTGTCAGAGATTTCCTGATCAATCTTCACATCCTCAGCAGTTGAAGTAAACGTCTGAGAAAACAGCTTAGACATGACATACTTCTCCAATCCCTGCAGCATATGGCAATGTCTCATCGCATAATTGAGTATGAGATGGTGAGCTTCTAGAAAATTTTATAAAAACGTCACTTTTGAAGAGGTTCATGACTCTTTTCAAAAACCTTTGAGAAGGTCAATTAAATTTTCACATCGTTGGCATTACTTGAATTATCCATTTACATATCCAGTCATGGTGACACATTATATATAGATTACTAAAGTAATATGGTGTGAGAATTCATATTTCATTACACTGGTTTCATGTTAAAGTTTCCCATGGTTATACATTAACAGCTAATTATTTTGTCACATGCTACATACTATAAAAAAGAACTTGAATTATATTCATCATGAACCCCGATAAATCTATAAAGTCTATCCTTACGTAGGAGTACCTAAATTATGAAAACCTGACCCGCTTTGTTACTGTGTCACATCTCATTACACTTAATTGGGTACACTTGGACCAAAGAACATACTTAAATTCCATACTAATTTAATATTTTCAAAAACTATTAAAAACCGACCAGCCTAGTTATTTTGTCACATGTGATATATTACTAAAACGGACTTGAGTTATACTTTATATCTCATACACAAAATTATCAAAAACCACGAGCAGCGTTTTTTATGTTAACCGCAGTCCCCACTTAGATACTCTCTTCCCATCATTCTCAGGATTTGCAGTACAAAACGAAGACAAAACTATGAAACTGAAATAAACATATGACCCCCACTTAGATAAACCAAACCTAAATCACATGAAGCAAGTTTGCAACAGTGCAATGGTATTGAGTCTATCAATATTACTGTACCTCTGTTTTCGTTACTACATGTAACATTGTTTTAGAATTCAAACACTATCTCCCCAATACCATTTATTTACACGAAATATCAGTTTAGTAACGATACCACAAGGATCTCCTCCGGTATTGGACCCGGTAATGTGACTGCACCTAAATTATGGTTAGGAGTACTCATCTTTATATACTTCACACCCATTTCTTTGATTAATGTAGGTTTATCCACGAGAAACTAACTCACCCAAATAAACCAAATTGTGACTACAACTCGGTACATATCTCACATGACGAAGATTATTGACAACACCATTGTGAAGCTTGAGATGAACACTACCAACGCCTTCAATCTTCACTTTCTAGTTATTACCGATAACCATATTTTCATAATTTCCATCTTCTTTCAATTCAACAAAACAATCATTATCATTACAAACATGCATAGATATAGTAGAATCTAAAACCCAACATTTTTCACTCTTTGAATTTTGAGTTTCATCTTTATGTGTTACTAAAAATTCACCTTCATTATCAACAACACAAGCGTCATTCTTCCATCCATCATTCGAATCTTTTATCAGTTAAGCCTTCTTGAAGGCAAACATATCCTCTCTTAATTTCTTGTAGTGTTGTTGGATATGTCCATTCTCTTCACAATAATAGCACTTCTTATTATTGTAATCTTTGACTTTTGATTTAGATCCCCATCTTGATCCATCATCTCTCTCTTGCGTCTTCCCTCGATTAAAACTTTCTGATGAGTACTCTGATCTCATAGATCTTTCATTCTCACGCAATAAGGCTGTTACATCATCTAATTTTAAAGTAGATCTGACTACCACCAAAATCTGAACTAAAGGTTTATAATATTTAGGCGAAGATGAGAACAATATCAATACATTTTCTTCATCATTTAACTCATGAGAAATAGCCAATAATTGAGATACTAGCCTATTAAATTCGTTTAAATGATCATGGAGACTCGTAAATTCATCCATCTTCAAAGAATACATATCCATCTTCAAACATAGTCACTTAGTCAACGATTTCGACACATAAATCCCTCCAATTTTTCCAACAAACACTTTGGTGTAGCCTTAAACAGCATGTTGTATTTCATCTCTGGAGCTAGGGTCAATTTGATTGCACTGACTACTCTCCTCTAAATCTATTCCATTTTCTATCAGACATTTTCTCTGACTTACTCTCTTCTAATGCCTGATCAAGACCTTGTTGTACCTACAAGTCTTATATCGTACTTTGTCATGATATGAAATTAATTTTACCATCAAATAAAGGAACCTCAAACTTAGACATACCTCAAAAAATTTGAAATGTCTGACAGTCGCCAATCTAATCTTAAATCTAGTCTCCTCTCGAGCTTACCTTCACTCAGATCACAAACCATGAGCTCTATTACCACTTGTTGGGAAAAAAGATTCCCACAATTCAAACGCAAAATATAGCAAACAACTAAAAAATAAAGCAAACCAAATGTGAGAATTTTAAAGTAGTTCGGCCTAATCAATTTAGCTTACATCCACTATCCACTCAAACAATCTACTAAGAAAAATCTTACAACTATGCAATTTTTAAAAGAGAAAAATTACAAACTCCATACACTGTCCAAAAAAGCCCAATTATACCCTTAATAACAGCTCACTCTGACTATTCTTTTGATGTCTTTTTTAATACTTTTTTAGATATATTAAAAGTCCTAACTACTAATCTATTTAAATGTTTTATCAAGAGCTAGTGGCTTTATCATGCCTCATAAACATGGTGGAGGCAGTAGTATTTTCGTTCTCTTTTACCCACAATATTATTTTTGGTTTGCGCCAATCAAGATTATCAAGGAACACAGTGCTTCATTGGGCAGTACTTACAAGATTTGATCAGTTGATGATACACAACGTACTGTTAGCATAGTCCTTCTGTAGAAGTTTATGCCTGCTAGCATAGTACGTATAAGAGGCCTATAAAAGGCGGCCAACTTACCTCAAGACAATGATTAGGACAAAAATAATAATAACCTATACAAGACTATGTATATACACAAAAATCTCTTCCTGTCTGGGGACATACCCTGGGTTTGGTACATAACCAAAGAAAGCTATAAGACAATGTCCAAAGAGGTGACAAAAACTAAAAAACCACCTCTACATCACATAGCCCCCCTATGCTCGACAAAAAGCCTTAATAACAAGTTTGTCTTAGAGCCCCACCACCATCAAGACCACAAGACCCAGAGTGTTCACCCATAAAAAATAGACATTGGTAATTCCCAAATTTGCTGAAGCTTCTATTTCCCCTGGATTGTTATAAACAGAATGGATATATATATATAATGACAATTATCCCTATATTAAATTTTTAAAATTAACTTACAGGACGTTACAGGTCATATGACTCAGGTTCTCTGTTTTCTCTCTTTTTTTTATTTATTTACATTTTTTAATATAGAAGAGTGATACATTAGTCAAGTTAATGCTTCCTACAATCTTCAAATTTCGTTGTTCTTTTCATAAGTCCCAAAATTTTATTCATCCTCAAGTTATCTTTCTAGTTCTAATATCAAATGACCCTACAAATTTTCAAGTTAAATTTTTCCAAACTAACATACTGGCCTCATAACAGATGTCTATATTACTGACCGGAATATTAATCAAGCACCTTCTATTTCTACTTGGTGAAGCCAACCTTCTTGTTAGTTATTGAATATATGATTATATACAGGGAAATCAAGAAATGCAAATTTCCAATCTCCAAATAGCAGTAAAACAAAACTCAGGCTAAGCACTAGGTATTAGCCATTTGTCATATCATAACTTAAATGAATAGCTGAAAAGTACCACAATTATTTGCCAGCTTCTAGCATATATGAATGGAAACACAAGACAACAGCTTTGTGTTAATAAAGCTAGACCAAACTGAACTGTCAATTCAAATGAACTATTTGAAAGAACCTACATGAACACAAGTACAGGCAAGACACATGTACCAGGGATCTAACCGGTGACAAAATAAAACAGGAAAAACTACTTAATGTAACCTGTATTAGGTACAATCTGAACCAACGGTGATTTAAGAAAGGTTTGGAATAACTATTCTAACATTTTCAATATCAGCACAAGAGGTATCATACCGTACGTTACATATTCCTCTATTTGTAGCAAGGATTACGATTGGAGATAGTGAGCTCTCTAAAGCACGAATCAAGTATGAAAAGCACTTCATGTCCAGCATATGAACCTGCAGATTGTAACATAAGAAACATACAACAGATCTGAACATATATATATATATATAGAAACAAAATGGGTTTAGGAGAGAACCTCATCAATGAATAGAACTCCAGGAACAAGCTCTGCCACACCTTCATCAATATACCAATTAACAACCTGGCATCGGCGAAAATTTTCAGTCAAAGCATTACATTTACAGGTAAAACTTAGAAGTGTGACAGTTGAGATTAAAGACCATTGCAGACTGTCATCCTTATTATTATTATTTTTTTTTTCAATGCAATTATTGGGGTCATGGCAAGGCATGCTTCAAGTGCTTTTCTGGTAAATGACAAAACAAAGAGGATTCAAACTAGAACCTTATTTATTTCTTGACGTACTTTTTCAGTAATTTCTGTTTTCCTTGGCTTCATCATCTGACCCATTAAAGACAATATATCTTGCCCATCTTGAGGCCTCACATTTGCAGCATCCAGATAATGCAGTGTCACATCCTGATATAAGAAAATAGACAATTCAGCATGACATAAAATTAATTTCATCATAGTGTAATGCCCATAAAGAAGTCATGAAGGCATCAAAGTCATAGCTAATTTTTATGGGGTAGATTAGAGCCATCAGGCCCAATAACAAAATATTGCAAGTCTTATGTTCAGTGAAAAAGGTTATAGGCCAGAAATCTCCAGAAGCAGAAACTATGTATCAACTTAAGTTTGTTTACTTGGATCACATATTCTTCACAGAAACGTGAGTCGTGTGAAAAGACAGAGCATCTTAGGGCCAATAAATTATCAACATGAAAAAGAAGATAGCATTATTGATAGTATAACAATCAGAAGACAAAAAAGCACTTTCATTATTTAAAAAACATAAACTGATGTCTTTTAACATCCAACATAACCATTATCATAAAATAAAACATCATGAATGATATCAACAAACGTGCACAAAGCAGCCACAATTCACATGAGACGAACCTGGACTATCTCTTTCTTTTTGTGAATTTCTCCTTTAGGAAGTGGAACATACTCTTCTGCTTCAAGGTCAAATTCCGTAGCAAAAGCATCACTCCTTTCCACCCTTTTGACTGCACCACTATTTGCCTCAATATATATAACATCTCCAACAGCCACCTGCAAAAGACCAAATTAAAATCAAAAACAAAAATATGTTTTCAAAAATAAGCTCGCAGACGTGCAATAGAAAAGGACGAATAACAAAAATGCAGTAAATTCCTCCAGAGAAAAAACAACAATATCTGAAACAGATCAAAGAACACATATTATAGCTCTCTGCATTGAAAGGAAAAGAAATAACAAGAGCTCACTTTTTCTTTGATCAAGGCATCATAAATAGTGGGCTCCAACTTCAGTTGCTTGGTTCCTTTGATAGTTTTTAATCCAATAATCACATGGCTAATGCTTTTACCACAGCCACCTGTCACACTCTCAGCTTCTTCTGGGGAGAACTCAGTCACCTATAACAAGAAAAGAAAAGCATCATGAAACTCAATATGACAATAGCAAGGAAACCATGATCAGACCAGACTGATAAAAAATCACGTAACTTAACTGAGCTTACCTCTCCTTCATCGACCTCTTTATTTTCCTTGATACGTAGACAATAGCCCTTCGGAATTTTTCCATCAAAACCTCAGTTTTCTTTACTTCTGATGAGTATACTTCTGAACCAACAAAATGGAACCTGCCAAAAAGTAGTAAAATGTACTTTTTTTTTTTATACGCACGAAAGCCCATCAATGTTGTTAATATCAAAAGCAATCATCTACTAGAAGAAACAGGAACACGAACAAAAGATTCCGATTAGGAACATCAAAACGCAAAAAAGATATTAACAGATGTGAAAATGGCAAGAGCACCTTGCTCCCAAGCTCTCGACATATTCCGAGGGCCAGCGCAGTCTTCCCAGTACCGGGAGGAACAGCCAGTAAGAGTGCACAAACAGCCATCTTCTTCTGCCTGATCATATCAACAACAAGACCAGCAGCTTCTCTTGCATCCGCCTGACCCACGAAGCCAGCAGCCAAAGATATTGCGGTTCCATTTGGCTACCAAAAAAAAAAAAAATTTAATTGCATCAGAACAATTCACAAACATTTATCAACTAGTTGATACAATCACCTGCAAATCAGTCCAATATCCAAACCACACACAAGAACAGATGACTAGAGACAACAATTCTTTGGTAAACCTCAATATTTGTATTAATCAAGAAAACTGGAAATTAACAGATCAGAAATGGAACAAAATAGTAGGCGGATAGATCCTAGCATTTCGAGGAGCTAGGGACCTCCATTGGTTATATCTAAAAGAATGCTTAACCTTCTCTCGGCCTAATCTTAACAATATATACTAAGTATCTCACAAAATACCCCTCATTCACACAATTCTCACACCCAATTCTACACACAGCCACGTGGACAAGATTCTTTTAACTAACTGCCCTTAATGCCTTTTGCGTCCCTTAAGCTTTTAACTAACTGCCCTTAATGACTTTTGCATCCCTTAAGCTTGTAGACCTTATGTATAGGAGGCCTATCATTAGTCCAATGTAGATCAGTCCAGTAAACCATTCCCTATCAAATAAAGAGATAAACCAAAAGTGACCATTTTGAAATTGATATATGTCAACTCAAAGAAATTAGCATTACTAACCTGTCAACATTCTTATTTTTAACACTTCAAATTATACTAAAACCTTTTGCTTTACCCAAATTCTAGAAACTTTAAAAAACATGAATAAAAATATAATAAACACAAGCCAATTTCCTGAATCTTGTAACTTTGATAACATAAAGACATGTATTAAACACAACCCAAAAGGCAGTGTGAAGTCAAACACCAAAACATGGATACCTAGAAACAAAAACGAAAATAAAATTCCGTACACAGCATAATCCCTAAACCGTAAACATAAGAGAAAAAAATTTGAACTTTTGACAGCAAAAAGAGCAATTACAGTTGAAAGCAGCAGGAAATTAGAACAATTTTTTCTTAATATTTAAGAGGCAGAGAAAGAGAAGGAAAAATGACCTAAAGACCAAGGCCTTTAATGTGAGTGTGGGATGCGATTCGCTGCTTCTTGGCAGTAGATTGAACTTCTTCTATTTTAATTTTGTCCATGATTTTTTAGCTTTTCTTCTTCTTCTTGTGTTTTGGTTTTGCAGAAACTCGGTTCCTGCTCTTTCCAGTAAACAACTCAATTTAATATACAATACATAGAACATTAGAAATGGCATTGGACACACAGAGAGGGAGACGGAGAGAAAGAGATTGAAACCCACCTGAAGGACAGTGGGTGAGAGAGAGTGGCCCTTCTTCTCCTGACGAAGAGTGGCAAACAAAATCTAGAACTTGAATTTGAATTTGTCATTGCTTACCACAAATAAAAATAATGCTGTGCTGCTCTTCAACAATTCCTCGAAGTGCGTCTGAATTTTCCCACATTCAGGGCTGGCTTCCTGGCATCCAAATGATAATTTAATTAGAAACAGAGAGCCACACAAGGCATAATAATGTAAATGTTCTGCACAACGTCAAATGCTCTTCTTATAAAAGGTACAACAGCCTAAGCAATGAAAATTCTCCAAAAAGTACCCTGCAGGATCTCCACTGTGCATATGAAAATTTTGTAATAGCCAGCATGAAGAATCATAGATCTCACCTTTAGTACAGCAATTGTCATGTTGTAGTTATTCATCAGAAACACAATCT